GACGCACCATTTGTTGGTCTCTTCAACGCTACTTCCAACCATTCCACGACGGATGAATACAGGAACAGAGGTGCGACGATCACGCATGTACTAGATGCAACAACATATACGGCCGATATCGCTTGGGAAGGTTATGCCCGCCTCTCGCGCCTGCACAGAAACGAGCACAAATACATCCTAGCCGCCAGTCAGAGATCTGAGACGCTCTCGTTCACTGTTACATACGCTCCTCGGGTGGCCAATGTCTCTTACACTGCAGAGTCAGTCAAGCAAAAGTCACAAAGCTGGTGGGCAGACTACTGGTCGACTGGTGCATTCGTGTCACTTCCATCGGCCAACAATGCCTCTGCGAATGAGCTACAGCGTCGCACAATCCTTTCTCAGTATCTTCTCGCGGTCAACGGGGCTGGTAAAGATCCCCCACAAGAGTCTGGCTTGGTGAACAATGGATGGTACGGCAAATTTCACCTGGAAATGGTCTTCTGGCATCTAGCCCATTGGATGTTCTGGGAGAAATGGGACCTCTATGATCGCAGTATCGGCGTCTATGAGCGCTTTCTACCCAGCAGCTTCGAACGGGCTGAAAAGCAAGGATACGAAGGCGCGCGCCTCGGCAAGATGAGTGACCCAAGCGGTCGATCTGCGCCAGGCGAGATCAACAGCCTCCTCATCTGGCAACAACCGCATCCCATGTACTTCGCCGAGATGGAATACCGATCTTTCCCGACCGAAAAGACTCTCGAGAAATGGGATGAGATCTTGACAGGCGTTGCGGACTTCATGGCCAGTTATGCCTTCTGGAATTCCACAACGAATCAATACGATCTTGGGCCGCCCATGTATCCAGTCTCTGAGAATACTAATCCCAACGAGACGATTAATCCGACGTTCGAGCTAGCGTACTGGCGCTTTGGTCTCGACGTAGCGTCGAAGTGGCAAGCGCGGCAAAACAAATCTACCCCGGAGTCCTGGATACATGTACATGACAACCTAGCGCCTTTCCCCATTGAAGAGGACGCGTATGTGACGTATGAGGGTATACCAAACATGTGGACTACACCCGAATATACGGAAGATCATCCAGGACTTCTGGGTATATATGGCTGGTTGCCCCCAGACCCTCGCGTGAACATGACAATCTTCAATAACACCGTCGCCAAAGTACACGAGACATGGAACTTTCCCTTTTCTTACGGTTGGGATTTCCCATTGCTGGCTATCACAGAAGCGAGGAGAGGAGATGCGGAACGCGCAGTTAGTCAGTTGCTTGACGTGAACAATGCTTTTGATGAAGTAGGAATGCCAGAGGGGGGAACAAGAGTGCCTACGCCGTATTTTCCGAGCTCAGCGGGCTTACTGCTTGCGGTGGGGATGATGTGTGGTGGCTGGGATGGGTATAAAGGGCCAGTATGGCCGTCGCAATGGGATGTAGAGTGTGAGGGTTTTACGCGGGCCATGTAGGGTGATTGCTGAGACATATCATTCATACACCGCGAGTATTCCTAAACGTCGTTCTCTTCATCCCTTTCCTCTTCACTATCCGCTTCTGGAAACTCCCCCATCTCTATGAGGACGTTTGCGAGAGCAACACCCTGTTGATCTAGAAGTGAAACGCCCAGGTCTAGCATTTTCTTCACATTATACCTAAACCTCTTCCAGGTTTCCATCCTTCTCGTGTCCGCCATTTTCATCTTCTCTCGCCAGAGAAATGGCTTTCTTTCGAGATAGTCGTTGACTGAACACATGCGAATGGCATGTAACTTCCTGTCCGGCGGCAACGACCCGACGACCTGAAGCAATGACTCTAGAGTTTGAACTCCGTAACCAATGTTCTCTGGGAACCGACGAAGCACAATCTGAGTGACTGATACAGGGACATCACAGAGAGGCCCTGTGGCATCGAAAGTATCAAATACTTCCAGAGAGGATGTGTGATCAAAGACCTCGGACATGTTGGCCAGTTGGCTATCGTCAAATTGCAGCATTCTCAAGCCGGCACCGTACTTTGCCATGAAAGCAGGCAGATTACTCAATTTCCTCCAGTTATCGTGCGGCTTCCGGATTGCAAAAGCTGAAAGCTTGGGCATAGCCGAGTGTGTGAGCCAGCCTATTAGCTCATTAGTGGCGTACTCTGCATCCAGCTCGACCAAGCGCAGATGAGGGAACTCAGATGATTCAACATCGTCCAAGCCGCGCGTTCGGCCTCTAACCCCCAGGTGGAGGTCTCTGAGGGCTGTGCAATGTTTTAAAAGAGAAAGCGCTTCCTGAATACGGATGAGGCGACGTCCAATGATTATATACAGCTTTGTAAGTTGTGGGCCGTGAGAGTGTACAATAGCTGCGATTTGCGGACGCTGGAGATCAAAACGACAAAACAATTCGCTTAAGTTCGTCATGCGGGAGAGCAGAGTGGGCAATGCAGCTTGCAACGCCGTCAAGGCTGGTTCAGTAGGGCTTACGCCCTCATCTCTTTGGATCCAGAATGAGCGCACCCAAGAAGCTTTCGGAGCATCGGATTCGATGGTACGGTCAAGGAGACAGGTCAAAGCTGTGATGTGGTTGAACGCTAGATCATTGTTGCCGTCGATCGTTAAATGGCGGTAGACAAGTGGCTCTACCAAGTCCTGCGAGAGGTCAGATGGAAACACAATGATTCGATCTGGAATTCTTTGTACCTTCCACGACTTGCACACATATTGCAGTCTCTGTAGATCACATGTTCGTTCTCTTCTATACTTGAGAGACTGGTTGAAAATGTGGGTGTCGTAAGTGACCACATGCTCGAATATGGTGAGCCATAGTTCGGTGGGTAAAGCGGGTAAGGCTCGATGCTCAATTAGCCGTCCAGGGGTTATGTCCATGATGCGATCGAAGTGAATTAGAAGACAGGAGGGTCAGTTGGGTGACGCTGCTTGGAAGGTGGATTTGTCTCAACACAGGCTAGCGCAGATCTGGTTAGACAGACCCCCGAGATCAGGCGAGCCGGGCTTGCATGTCATTAAATCTACTTGGGGGCAAATGCTGCAACACGCTGAAGCATACTACTTTCGCAATCTCCAATCCCTTCATCAGCTGCTCCGACTCCACAATTCACCTTTGCGGTGACGATGTGTGCGATACGCCACGCTTATAAGTCCCTCTCACAGACCGCCAACCATGACTAGAGCTATGTCTCCATGAAGTCCTTCATGCTTGTTGTCCACGAGGTCATCTTTGAATTGGGTGTCCTCGCACATGCCATAAACGCTTTTGACAAGTCCAGCGTGAAGGCGAGTGGCATATCGTCAAGGTGAATAGCCCAATTCTCTTTCGCCTCTCTGACCCACACATCAACCATGAAGCGCCTGCCGGGGGATCCCTCCGGAGTTCCATCGTATATGGTCTTGACTATGCTGGAGCCGGGACGTAGTGGCTTGTAGAAAGGCTGATTGAGAAGGGCGTCACGGAAGGCGACTAAGACGGCGTTTTTGAATGCAGTATCCATGAGCATCTCTCCCATAACGTAGCTCTTGCCAAGCATACCGGTCTCATGATTGAACCTCCCTGTATTCTTCGTGGTGACAGTAGGGAATGTCTTGAAGTACAACCAATGAAGGTAAATTTTGAAGATAGCCGGGTCTTCGTCGACAAGAGTGACGGTGCGCGCATCAACACGAGATGCTGCCCATTCTTCCTTCATGGCCTTGTCGAAGAACTTTGAGCTTCTCCTGATGACAGCTTCATGGACCGGAAACTTGGTTCCCTCCTTGCCAACGTTCACTGTGATCGTGTCGAAGAGGCTAAACGCTATCAATATTGGTTCTTTCTAAGAAGTGAAGAACTCACTCGAAGGCGTCTGTCTGCAGGATTCGCCCATGTTCAGACTTGAACTCGATCGCCGGTTCCTCAATCTGTCCCGACATCGCTGCAGAAGATAGTTAATTGGCGGTTGTCGTTGGTTTTGTCGCCGTGTTTTGGAGGGGAAGTTGAGCAAAGAGTAGTGTAAATAAGAATGGCTAGAGCGGATTTTCATAGCGTCTCTAGGCAAGGTGATAGTGAAGATGAGTGGTAAGAACGCAGTGTCGCGCAGCAGATTGAACCATAAAGAGGCGAGCGCGCCTGCCGTATCGGGATAAGGCGAGCGAGGGCATGTTCGGGTGTCCAGGACATGTTATCCTTATTTTACATTCTTCACAGTATAATACAGGGTCGTAAATTCGTTCCTCAAGACCATCGAATCTTCATCTTCCACTGATCCAGTTTGGCCTCCCACCATGTCTTCTGAGGCGCCCGCTCGATCTCCTCCATCAGTCTGGTATAGTGCTCCGGCGCAGATGTTGGCTTCAGTACACCCGGTGACAGCGCATACTTTGTGCTATATCGGTTCTCCAGTAACGAGAATAGTGCGTTTACTTGGGCTTGCTCGAGCTTGGGATTCGCAGGCGGCGAAGATGCGGCCGGTGTTGTAGGTGCGGGCGCTTGGGGCTTTGCGCCCTCTTCGGGGGTGGGTGTTATGGGTTGGACGCCGAATGGTTTGCCATGATGCTCGATTGCGCGTGTGAAGGGTAAATTTGGGCGCAGAGCGTCTTTTGGCCAGAGAGCGAGGAGGCGGGTGTATTGCTTTGTTATCTGGACTATGTCAGCTGACTATTTTGCAATGCACTGCTGTGTACTCACAGTATTCGCCATGGTTGTGTGTGAATTGAGAAAAAGTGAAGTTCTTCACCTTGTCGGGTCTCAAAGTCGATGATGCTTCGGTAACCAGGGTCCAGGCGCTATTGGATCGTGGCGCAGCAGCCGTGTCGCATGGCCCAAAAGCGAGCAACTTGCATTTGAAACGCCTCCTCCACTGCACCTGCCGCCTGACACGCTCCACCCACCTGCACCTCCCTCCTACAACCGCCGTCTCTCTCGTCCACGCTCGCTGCCTTACCTATTCCTACGACTCCCCGCCTTGACGACATCCGATAGCAGATATCCCATCGCCCCCTTCACGTCACGCATCCGGTTATCCGCGCAACATGCCTAGCCAGGGCTACGAGAGGGTGCGTTGCCCCGGTCCATCCCGACCACCATGCGACTGCGCGAAACCCCTATATTGCTTTCGCAACGACAGCACTAATGCGTTAATCCAGGTAGCCGCCCAAGACGAAGAAGACTCTCCCCAGACGCTGCAACCCGGCCAGCAGTGGCCCCCGGCCTCGCCACCACCCTCCTTCCGCTCGCGCGCATCATCACCGAACGGCACATCACGGCATCTCCTATCCGAGGATCCTATCACGAATGAAGAAGACCGCACCCTCGCCGATACCTTTGACTCGGATTCCGATGACGACGACGACGATAACGATGGGCGCGACGATCGGCAACGGCTGATGCGGGGAAACCCGAGGACAGAAGACGAGGCGGCGCCACCGGGCATCCAAAGGAGAGTAACGGAACTGCCAGTATTCAACACACAAGCGCCGACTCCAGGGCGAGTGTACGGTGGAGGAAACGGTGGTGTCTGGGCAAATCTCAGCGCAAAGCCTACCAGAGGGGAAGATGCCGAGGAGAAGCCTCCGGTACGTATCAGACTATCGATAAGTCGCGTGAATCACTGCTAACATGCATCAGACATATGAACAAGCTGCCGCAGACGCGACACCACCCTACTGGGAAACCACCATCCTCGCTCCCGGCACTTTTGGCGATGAAGTCTTTGTCGAAGGCCTCCCCGTCGGCTCCCTCTTCAGCTTCCTCTGGAACGCCATGATCTCCATGTCCTTCCAACTCGTCGGATTCCTCCTCACCTACCTGCTCCACACGACCCACGCCGCAAAGAACGGATCCCGCGCTGGTCTCGGTATCACGCTCGTGCAGTTCGGTTTCGGATTCCGCTCCGCCGTACTCTCCCCGAACAACGGTAGCAACGATAACCCCGGACAAGGGTTCGACGGTGGCGTTCCAAACGACCCGAATGCGCACGACTTTGACCCGGACAAGGTCGGCAGTGGAAACACAGGGGGCAGTGATATGACACCCGCCGCGAGTGCCATCACAGGCAGTGACTGGATAGCGTACGGCCTGATGATTGTTGGCTGGTTCATCTTGATCAAGAGTGTATCGGATTTCATTCGCGCAAGGCGGCACGAACAACTCGTTCTCCAGTCTCCCGATCGGGGGCTGGGTGTGGCGGTGGTCGCCGAGGGTGAAAGCCCGGAGCGCAGTGTATAATTTCTTTAAACGAGCCTCAGACTGGCATCTTCTTTTCTCTCCTTTCATAGCGTATTACTTGGTTGCATCTAGGGACGGCGTTTACTATTGGCTAAAGACAGATCGAAAGACACGCGCTTCGCTGTTGTAGCAGCACATTACCGCACGATTTTCCTTATACACCTATCTATTACTTTATTATCCAAATCCCCTTCCGGAGTTTCTTCCACACGAAGTCCGTCACCACTCAGCTACTTCCCCTGTCCTGATGCAGTTCATTCTCTAGCGTCATCGAATGCTCAGCTGAAATAACACATGGCGGTGGTAGAGATATGTTGAATTAGTCTATCGGCTATTGTACATGCACAACATGTGCTGGGTATCGTTGGGGTAAAAATCTTAAAACAGCTCTTGACAAAGCGCTCATGTCTCGTAGACGAAATCAAATCATGTGCCTGATGACACGTTAGCAAGCATCTCTTGAGATGAATCGCAGACATGACTTACCACAAGGAACCGCCGCGCATGAATCTTTGGCACAGATTTAGCATGCGACCCGTGAAAGTTGCAATCGTTACATTACAACGCACTTTTCAGTCGCATACACTTCTCCGTACTGGTCCACACCTGCCATCATCTCGTTGTACCGCTGCTTGTTCTTGACTTCCTCTGGAAACCATTTCTTAAGGAAGGCGGCTTGTTCGGTATCGAGATTGTCTATCATGTGGTTAGTGTTTGACTTTCATACACCATATGAAAACTTACCTGAGTTTGCATCGAAGACTGTCTTCTCGCGGCAGAACGGACAGTTGTATTGCTTATTGTTTTGCATCACAATTAAGCACCGAATGCAGAAGGTATGGTTGCAGCTAAGCTTGACGGGCCGCCATTGGATCTCCATGCACATAGGGCAAGAATAGTCGTCTATCTGCGGGACGTGAGATAGAATCTGTGTGTTGACCTCTGCGCAGACGGCTTTGGCGAGGTGTTCCGAGAACTCTGGGTATTCTACCTGGCGCGGGAATGTGGACTTTACACCTAGAGCTGTGCGTTTGTCGAATTCTAGTAACAAGTTAGTTCACCATTCGCATGTTTGTTGGAGAAATAGAGAGACCTACTCTTAAGGATCTTGATCATGGCATTATGGTTGATCTCACCGAATCGCAGGCCCTGGAGGATCTCCCGGTTGATATGCATGAAGGTGTTCAGTGCTTGTAGATTCTCCTTCTTCTTCAGTTGTTCCACCAAGCCAGCCTTGGCAATCTTATTTGAGAAACCTGCCAGTCTCGCCATGGCCTTTTCCGAGTCGTGCGATTTGTGGTCCATCTCTGTTGTTCCAAAGAAGATGCCTTCTTCCACGTATATCTGAAAGATTTGACGCCAAGCAGTGAGCATTTTCCTGTTGGCTCTCCGGTCTGGATCCGTCAATTTTGCAACTTGCTTCCCTAATGCTTCGATTTGGACATTCATTCGCTTTTGCTCCCGCTCCTGCAATTTCTCCAGTCCTGTAACTTCACTGGTAAGCCTGGTGAAGAACTCCGTATCCGAGGTGATGGGAACCTCGACTGTACGGTACCCTGGTCGGTTGCGAGAAGCATTGGTCGGGGTGGTAGTTATAGAATTGGATGGATCTATGGAGTCGATGGATTGGAGTGACGATTTTGAGTCGTCCAAGACGCGCATGTCAGACATGCCCGTCTCAACAGCCAGCATCTGAAGCTTGCGTCTGGTGTCATCATCGAGCTGGGCACTCAGTACCTCTCCGCTCGACTCGTTTACGTAGAAGAGGAGCTTCGGATGGAATGCCTTGCGCGAGGGCGATGCATTGTCCTTGGCACTGTCGGGGTTGAGAATGTACTCGAAAGGTCGTTCTTGATCATCGTCTTCTCTGGTAGAAGCATTGTAGTCTTCGACATGTTTGAGTAGTTTGGACAAGGTAGCAGGGTCAAGGCCCACTTGCCGCAGCTCGTCGGTAAGCCTCTTGATGCATTTCTTGAGCTGCGAGTACGAGATAGCCGAGTCGACCCACTCTGGCGGGAAGCCCTCATCCCGGAGAGTCTGCTTGAAGAGATGGCCGAACTTCATGTTTGGGCAGGGTTGACGAGGTACCGTGGTAGGGCTGGCCGATCAGAAGGCGCAGAGGAGGCACGTGGGGAGCTGAGTGGTTGCGACCCTTAGCGGGGTACCTTCCACGCTTGTTCGGCCACAGTTCCGGGTCGGGCTAACGAAGCGTTCCAGCGATCACCGCCCTGGAATATGCAGATGCGGCTGTGTAGTAGAGAAGGATTATTGGGAACGAAGTGTCAAAGAGTCCCAGATGTGTGGTGGTGGGGAAGAAATGGTGTTGGGTGAGAGAATTACGACTTGTCAACAAGGGCGATTTGCGCCGCGGGTCATGCGCCTGTGTGCCTGGAAAGGATGCCGCTAAATCGAGACCCCAGAATTCGATGGAGATTCGTCTTAGGCCATCACGAAGACATGGGGATGCGCCTCTCTTATGAAGCAAATCAAAGCATGGCGTGTGCCGGCTTTCGGCGCTGTCTAGACTGCGGTGGCTCCAATAGCGCTCTTCTTCAATCACTGTCTGCTCAAACTTTTCGCCTTCGCAGTCCGCGACCAATCAACGCCAAGCGCACAGTCATAGGCGATTTGCTTGCAGTGACGCAACATGGCTCTTCGCGACTCACCCAACTAACACGATGTGAAAGCCGGGGTAGTCTCGCTGTATAGCAGGCTGTCAGCACGCGCACCGAGAAGCTGTGAAAGCTGCACTACAAACTTATATGCTGTCACTCTCCCATACACGCCCACACAACTGAACTGCAGCATCCAGCCACTGCCACTGCAGGTAGTCCGAGACCCGAAAATCTCGAATACGTCCGAACCGTACACCTAGCTGCATCGAGCCAAAGCCACTATGGGTGCATCACAGTCCACCGGCGGCGGCGACGCGCCTAGTAATGCCGGCGAAGTCAAGACAAGTTACTACGAACTACTGGGTGTGGAGCGCAATGCCACCCAAGACGAGTACGTGACACGACGCACGTAACAAATTCAATACTAACATCCACAAGACTCAAGAAGGCATACCGCAAAAAAGCGCTCGAGCTGCACCCCGATCGAAACTACGGCGATGTCGAACGTACCACTGCCCTCTTCGCCGAAGTCCGATCCGCATACGAAGTTCTCTCAGATGACCAGGAGCGCGCATGGTACGATGCACACGAGAGGGATATACTGCGGGGTACTACTGGCGAGGAGACCGGCGACCATTACCAGGGTGACATGAAGGTTACGACAGCCGACGACATAACGCAGATGATGGGCAAGTTCAGGGGGAATGTGGACTTCTCAGACTCGCCCAACGGCTTCTTTGGCTTCGTACGAGAGACGTTCGAGCAACTTGCGCGCGAAGAGGAGTATGCCGCTGACTACGACGACCTCGACGTACCGGATTACCCTAGCTTTGGTCACAAGGACGATGAGTACGAGGGTGTTGTGCGCGACTTTTATTCCGCATGGAACGGCTTCGCGACGGTGAAAAGTTTTGCATGGCTGGACGAATACAATCCCTCTCTTCAACCTGATCGCCGCTATCGAAGGGCAGCTGAGAAGGAGAACCAAAAGATCCGCGACGAAGGCAGAAGGGCGTTCAACGATGCGGTCAGAACGCTGATTGCGTTCGTACGCAAGCGAGACCCACGATATACTCCGAATACACAGACGGCAGAGGACAAGGCCAAAGCACAGCGGGATGCTAGGAAAGCGCAGGCTGCACGAGCAAGAGCTGCGCAGATCGCCAAGATGGAGCAGGAGGAGCAGGCGGTGCCAACTTGGGCTACCGCACGTCCGGCGGATGAACTTGAAGAGGAAAGCGAAGGTGAAGTCGAGGAGGACGTCTACGAATGCGTTGCGTGTAACAAGACATTCAAGAGCGAGCGGCAATACGATGCCCATGAGAAGAGCAAGAAGCATCAGAAAGCAATCCAGGCTCTCAAGAAAAAGATGCAAAAGGACAACGCCCATCTGGATTTGGACGAAGATGCCCTCAAAAGCGATGAGATTCTACCGGTAGAGGATGAGCTTGCGATGGAACCCGAAGTTTCTGGTGGTGGAGACTCCGATGCATCCGTGAAAAACCTCGCGACAAAGACGAATGAGCTTGACATAGACGACCACACTACAGACGAGGAAGAAGGCCATGTGGACCGAATGGCACCTAGTAATACAATTTCTGCATCGCCCGTCGACTCAGAAACAAGCTCAGACGTTGACGACGAATATGGTTCGCGCTCCGAAATAGAAGCACGACTTGCTGGCGCCAGCACAGAACCCTCCACAGCACCCACCGAAGATCTCGACTTTAAACCTGAAGATCCCACAGAACCAGAAGTCACCGCCCCACCGGAACCCAAGCTCGGCAAGGCTGCGTTGAAGCGCATGAAGAAGGCTGCAAAACAGGCTGAGAGCGAAGAGCCCGATATCAAAAACAAGTGTAATGGCTGCAGCGCTGGTTTCTCGTCCAAGACTCAACTGCATCAGCACTTGAAGAAGCATCCCGAACATGCGGCGCTGAAATCTGTCGCGCAACCGGGTGGTGGGAAGAAGAACAAGAAGCGGTAGTAAAAATGATGGCACGAATTACGATTTGTATGAGAGACATGATGTTCATGTATGGTTTGCTTTGGCATAGCGCAGGTGTTTGCTGGAGGCTAGATGATTTGTTAGACTTGCATTGAGCGGTTGTCGCTCGCATTTTCAAGGCGTCTTTGGATATGCTGTCGCAGAAGTCACGTTCAGAACAGAAGCTGTCGCTGATATACATTCACCACTTGCCATCAGTAAAATATTCCATATCCTCTCATATCTAGGTTCATGTTCCTGGAGGTTTAATTACTACAAACCACCTCAGGATGAGACCCGGGAACCTGCTGGATTTTACTCGAGCATTCTCTTTGTTTGACGCGCAATCATACCCAAACAAACATAGACATACGACCCACAGTAACGGCTACATGTGT